GGAATCCAACCCTCATATCTACCCTCGTAACTTTATAATGAAACAAAGAAATCTTATTTAAAGGGGCAGTAGATTTTCACGCTCGCAAGGCCACATCATGCTTTAAAATATTAACAAAAACACCTGAGGGTAGGGTTTTCTTTCAGAAATTCAACCATATGATTAAACCAAACAAACTATTAAAAAATAACAACTGGAAAACCAAATCGGGAGAAAAAATATAAAAAATTGATTTAAAAATTAGAAAAATCACTAGTCTGTTTCAGTTTCAGAAAGTTGAAACTGAAACTTGAATTTATCTAAAAAAATAAACAGAATATAAGAAAGTAATTGATGATATCCTGCATCAAGCCGAGGTTTCCACTTTCCATGCCCTGTTTGTGTCCACTTTCCACATGTGAGAAAATCTTGTTATGCTGTATTGTTTGGTCAAATTAGAAGATCTGAAATTAATGGTCTTGTTTAATGCTAGTGCAGAGAAAAAAAAGCGTGTGAAATTAATGATCTTGTTTAATGCTAGTGCGGAGAAAGAAAGAGTGCTTTGCAACTGCTATTTTTGTTTGTTATGATTTTTTTTTATTATTATAAATGTTCAGGTATATTTATATGTATTTTGACTAATTTTACAGGTCATGAAATTAATGATTATATAAACCTTTAATAGTCCTGAAATTTGTAAACTTTGTACTAGTGGTCTCTAGAAAGTAAACCTAAAATTTAACTTGTTATTTGTTATGAATTTTGATTTGACTGGATGTTGCTATGGAGCCGGCTTGGATGAACAATATGATTGATTTTTCTTTTCCATTTTTCTTGTTTATCAATGCCAAAAAAATTGACTTGAACCAAATTAGTTTGATTTAAACTTGTTTTTGGTTTAATCCTTTAGATTTTTAAATCCGAACTGGATCGTGAACACCCTTACCAAAAAAATATGGCTAAATAATTATAGCCATACCCATAAAATAACATTTGTTGAAATAATGATTTTTTTTTCTTTTCTTAGCTTTTTTATGTGTTTTTAAATTTAACCCTTCAATAATCCAATCACTTTCCTTTTCTTCTTTTTTTAGTTTTTTTTTCAATTTCATCATTCTATATTAGTTTATTTTAGAAATTGTGCTTTGTCATTTATTTATTTATTTATTGTTGGTTATATACTGGTTTCACATATTTTGTTTTTTTTTCTTTCTCAATTTCAATTATCAACATTAGATATGTTTGAAATGAAGCTTCATCATTATAAATCCCTAGATAGAATATACACATATAGTAAAAAAATCTAATATGTTAAATAACTAGAAAAAAAATTATTATATGGGCAAGATGATAGCTTTGGGAATTTGGAATAAAATATTTTTGTGAGAAAAATACTAACATTTATTCATTGAAAATTTTCAATAATGAATAAATTAATGGTGGATTTAGAGACAATATAAGCTAGAAATAAATGATTAAATTGAAAGAAAACTCTAATTAAAAGAAAAGGATGAAAAAAAAAAGAATGAGACAAGAAATAATGTAGCATTAAATTATTAGAAAAGAAGAGTTTACTGAGCCAATATACAAATAAAAAAATATTGGGGTCAATGTGAAAATGATGGGAAAATATGGGGTTAATATGTAACTACAAAAAAAAGAGGGGCTAATGTGCAATTAAAGAAACTATAAAGGCCTAATATACAAATAAAGAATTTATGGTATATAAATAGAAGACTTGACTTCACATAAAGCCAATTTCCAACTAGTCTTGCATGTTAGGAAGAGAGGAGGAAGCCTTACAAATTTCTTGGTAAATACTAAGAGAAATATAGATTTATAGGATTTAGGAGATCAAAACCAAAAAAAATAATTAAAAATTCAAGGGATGTAAGAGAATATAGGTTGTAAGTGAGGGTTTTAGAGGAAGTGAAAATAAAAAAGAAAAAGTGAAGACAACTTTATATCCTTGCATTTGTTTCTTAATTTATCATCTAATAAAGATAAGAACTTCGTCCAAGTTGCTTGGATTGGATAAAGATATGTTATGAGATGTTTTGAAATTGTTACTGAAAAAAAATGAGTGTCTTGAATGATGAAGAGATACATTAAAACATTTAGGTGTTACAAGTTAAAAAAAGAACAACTTTACCATTAAATGTCCAATGTAATTTGATTATGAAAATGATAAAATAAAAAATATTTATTTTTATTAAAGTTGTAGGTATGAGTGTTAACTTTTAAATGTAATTGGTTCTGTGTAATTGGGAGCTACAAAACTCTAAATATGGGCTAAAAAATAACAAAAGGTGTAACTTGGAATTTACTGAACAATCCTACATGTTACTGTTATGAGAAATTTTTGATATATAAATGACATATATAGGTTCATCACCTTTCATAAAAGTTGTAGCCTTTATATCTTATCTTTCTAACTAAACAAACCACGTTTAAAATTGAGTTCTATAATTATAGCTATGATTGAAACAATACATAATATTATGGGAGCTTAAATTAAAGTGATGAAAATAATTATTGTCAACCTTTGCTTCTAACTTGGCATTATAAAAATTATGATAAATGAAGCATTGTGTATATATGTGAAAGTTTAAAGATCTGATTTGGTAAGTTAAAATTTAGAATGGATTATAATTAAAATAATTTTTTTATTTTTTATGAAACTTATCAATAATGTTTATATTTATACATACAAGAGAGGTTATATTAATAAAATAACAATATGATTTTGTATATTAATTTTGTAATTTTTTACGCTTAATAAACTTGGGTAAATGTAACAAAAATATATTGGAAAAAACTAATTGATATTGTGGGTATAGATCGATGAATTTTGCTAGGTTTTCTTAAAACAAATATGCAAAAGGATTATAAAAATTATTATTTAACATTGTCATATAATGAAAATAAATATAATTTTAAATAATTCAATTAATATAATTGTTGCGTCATGATTGTTGTGCGGGAGTCATATTTCTTATTTATAATTCAGCTAACTACTTGTAATTTTGTTTGTTTTTTTACATAAAAAAAGATTTGAATTCAAAATCTTTTAGGAGGAAAAACACTGAAATTATATGTTTAGGTAAAATGTTTTTATAAAAGTTTTTTTTAATTAAAAATTATTAAAATAAAATGTTTAAATTTTATTTTATATTTTAATACATTAAAATTATTAAAATACACATAAAATATTAATGTAATCCTTTTAAAATAACTTTATAAACAATTTAATGATTTAATTGAATATCAAAAACAAATACTACCCTAAAGATAAAGATAGTATTTAAGGTTGTGATAAAAGTTATTTTTTAAATTGTTTTTAGTTTGGAAATGGATCAATTTTTTTATTTTTTAAAATTTATTTTTGATATTAATATATTAAAATAATTTAAAATTATAAAAATATTTAAAGAATTTAAAAATATTTTTTTAAATGAAAAACAAAATAGCATAAAGCTATTTTGTTAGTCGTTTTCTTGGTTTTGTAGCAAAGGTGTCCAAAACAGCCACCAAATTTGATCTCATGCAGAGACGACAGGCTAGTTGGGAAAACGTGTGGTCTGCATGCACTCACTGTCACCCCTTCCATCTATCTGAACTCATTTTCTCTATTTACACACAGATAAATTAAAAGAAAACCAAAAACCCAGTTTCCAAGACGCTAAAGAAGCAAGAACAAAGGTACACAGCAGGAAACTAAAAGAATTACTTGAATTATGGAGAATGGAGCGGTGAATGGTTATGAAATGGAGACACCTAAAAACATTACCATCAAAGGAATTCTAAGTTTGTTAATGGAAAGCATTGATGATGACAAGAATCATGGTAGGGGTGTGATTTCACCAGGCATGGCATGGGTGACCCTACTGCTCATTCTTGCTTTCACTAGGCATGTTGCTCAAGAAGCTGTTGTTGATGCTCTTCAATCTGATAAGTTCAATGGTTATGCACCTACAGTAGGCCTTCCTCAAACAAGAAGGTAAAAATTTAGTAAATATTTCTTCCGTTTTGGCTCTGCAATTGAATGAATTTGTTGCATGCAGATGTTCATTGGGACTAGATTTCATTCCTTTTCTGTTCTTTCACTAGGAACGAGTTGCATGATGTTCGTTGGTATATATAGAATGATTTTGTAAATTCTGGATTTCTTTAAAGTTATTGCTCAATTAACTTTAATTCTCTAGTCAAATCTAGATTGTTTGTATGGATTTCAGTCTTATGAATTTACTTTGGCGCAGCAAATTACTGTTTCTGCTTCCTCATTTGTTGAAGTAATTTATTGTAGCCGTAATTCCTTTTGCTTAAAGTTTTAGTCGTATGATGTCTTCCTCTTGACTTGTTTCAATTTCTTTATTCTGATGATTGCAAATGAAAGTAATGAAAAAGAGATGATCTAGGTACCCTTAATTATCTTTAATTACGTATTGCAGATGCAGCTAAAGTCAATCCAGAATCACAATCTGGGCCTGCTTGATTTAGCACTAATTACTTATTTGCTACGGTTTCTGTTGAAATAATATACAATTAGCAACTTAATATTGTTTCTTTTGGCTTTAAATGTTTTCTTTTTCTTCCAGTTTAAAGTAATAAAAAGACAACTTAAATACTGAGTTCTTATTTTAGTTAACAGTAAATTAAGAGTCATAAAGCAATTTTAAAGTACCGAGTTGCCTTAGGTTTAGCCTTTGGTTTACTTGGTTGCAGTAGAAAGAGTCCGAAGGAACATATAAGGCTCCTTGTTCAACTTTGAGAGTCTGCAATGAATCATATGGTTTATTTGTTTCTTCTTGATTTTAATATGCTTACTATTCTGTAGGGCGATTGCTGAATTCCTATTTCATGATCTTCCTTACAAGTTATCATCTGATGATGTTTTCATTACATCTGATTGCACTCAAGCTATTGATGTTGCGTTGGCAATGCTTGCTTGCCCAGGAGCAAATATCTTGCTTCCATGGCCAGGCTTCCCAATTTATGAACTTTGTGCAGCTTTTAGGAGTCATCTGCTTATTTTGTTCTCTTTGTCAATAATGTTTTTGGTCTGTTAGGCAGCAGTACCTGGCATTCTTGAGCAAACTGATGAGGTTTTTTTTTCAAGAGAATTATCAACATATTGAAGCAGACCTCAGATATTTGTTGTGATAGGATGAAGGAGATCCCTTGTATCTCTTCCCCGCACAAGCCAGAGGGATCGATGGCTCTAGTGGTGAATAAAGAGCAGAATTTGCAACTCTCCATGTATCCAGGTGAGTGGGATTACAAATGGAGTTACACTAATTGGACTGCTTTTGCAATGCAGATGAAATTGAATCTCTTACCACTGGAAGATATCAGTGATGATATTGACATCTGCTTCAAACTGGCGAGAGAGGAATCTGTCATCATTCTTCCAGGTTAGAAATGAACAGTTAAGCATACGAATTAGCCTTTTTATAGCTCATGCCTTGAAAGAAAATCAAATTGTCTGTCCTGAAGCTTCTGATTTCTTGAAAATGATGTTATCAGACTCAAAGTGATTGATCCCAATACCACAAAGCGAGAGCGAGTAAACAAGTAGATTTTTATATCCCTTGTTGATAATCTTCCTCCAACCCTCTGTTTCCATGAATAGATTGACAATATTTTGGTTTAAGAACCAGTAGCCCTCCTGCCAGAAGCTGGTTGTTGCTTGCGTCCCAGCTGATGTTAGTATTCAAGACATGTATCATGGCGGTGAGCCATTAACCGAGTTGCAAGTGACAAATTTGAAAACATTGCTGCGAAATGGTATACGACTAACCATTGGTTTTTATTGCTTATGAAAAAAAGAAAGAAAAAAGATTTCTGCATTTTATAGAGCCGAATCTGTCATAGCACACACGGCTGCATGCAGCCATGCAGTGTAAATGAGAGGCTTAGGAACCATTATTGTTTCAAAAATGGGCAAGTGACGCAAGTCTAATGATTGTATAGCGACTTGGAATGTAACGGTGCTCTCCTTTTCGTTTTTTTTCGTACGTGAATGTAACAATTTTGAATAATTAATTTATAATAAATAGCTCTTTAACTGAAGTTATATTTTTCAAAGAATCAGAACTTAAATAAGTTATTTAATCTTGATATCACATCAAATAATTATATTAATCAAAAGTTTATATCTTGAGATCTATGAATAGTTTTATATTAATTTACAAGTAGGAATAAGGTGTCTCAAGTTTATTATTGCTAACAACATCAAAAGAATTGAGGGGGTAATTCCGCTTGCACTGTGTCATATGAACAGTGCAAGCAGGTCCCTCTTTCTTTTAGTATTTTTTCTTTCATTTTTTTAAATTTTTTCTTTTAACAATTAATTAATTTTAAATTATTTTTTCATAATGTTTTTCATTTTATTTTTTATAAAATTATTACAATCTCAAATAAAAAATTTCATATTCAATTAGTACTCAATTAGTGCTAGATTCTATACATATCTATTTTTATTATTATATAATTAAATAAAAAAATAATTTAAAAAATATAGTTATTAAACCTATTAGAATTTATCATCTTGTTCACAAAATTAATGAGTTAAGCTAAAGTTTGGATAGATGTAATATATTATTATTTTAATACTAAAAAAATTATTTTGATTTTTTTAAAAAATCAAACACATTTTTATTGATTATTTGGATAGCCATTCGAGATGTCAAATTAATTAGGTTATTATAAGGTAAAAAAATAAAAAAATATTAAATTCAGATGAGTCATTTATGAATTGTGAGTTTAATAAGTTAAGTTGTAAAGTTTAGATGATACAATATGTTATGGTCTTGATATAAAAAAATATTTTTATTTTTTTAAAATTAAACTATAGTTTTATCCAATATCTAAATTATATTTGGATTACTTGATTTAATCACTTTTACAGTTCTCATTTGGTTAAAAATCAGGTAAGACATTTTTAAAAATTGAACAGAATTCAATAATAATACAAAACAATTCCTTGTAATGTACCATTTAGTTACATTAAAAATTTGTTTGTCTGGAGCAGCCAGCAAACTAGTTTATAGTTTATACATAAAAGAAGACTATTCTCTATTAGATATGTTATATGATTAATTTATTTAATCTTTTTTAATCACATCTTACTTAATAAATTAAGTAATTTTTTCATCCATATTTTGGTTTTGAACTTAATATAATACCACGGGACTAAAAACATAAAATCACAAATAAAAAAAAAAACATGTGATTTTTCTAGACAATAATCAGGAGAGCATGAACATGTTTAAGATTGTAGTAATAGTGATGATTTAAAATGTTTTTTGTTTAAAAATATATTAAAATAATTTTTTTAAAATTATTTTTAATACTAACAAATCAAAATAATATAAAAATATATAAAAAAAATGATTGTGTTTATATGTCAAAATTAGAAATTCATTTTATTATGACGCATCTCATTAGATTTTGTTGTAAGATTTTGATTGTAATTATATTTGAGTGAATTTTAAAAATATATTTTATATAAAAAATATAAATATGATGTTTTTTAAGTGTTTTTATCATAATATTTTGATGTCAAAAATTAAAAAATAATAAAAAAATTATTTTAATATATTTTTAATCTTTTAAAAAATACCCTACACCATCATATCTAAAAACCCAATTATTAAATTAAGAGAAAAACCCAATTATTAAATTAAGAGGCTGTTTGGAACCACATTCTATTAAATTTTGGATTTTTTTTGCTTACAATTATTTTTTTATATATTTTAATTTTTTTAATATATTAATATTAAAAATATTATTTTATATAAAAATATTTTTGAAAACAATAATTATCTTTCACAGCCCTGCAGACTCTCCTCCCGCTGCCAAAAAGTCAACAGAAAAATAGATTCCCACCCTCTTACAAGACCATTATTTTGTAGTAACTATGAACATTGTCTCTTACTGATTATTTCTTCAAACACTCCCTTTTCACTGAATTCTTTGCTTCCGCAAGTTATATCAATTAAATAATTTTTTTTTATAGAATATATTAGAAAATAATATAAATTATATTTAAAACTTAATATAATAGTTTAAATTATTAAATTAAAATAATTTTTTAATATAATATCAGAGTTTTAAAAATTGAGTGGTCATAATTACAAATCTCATCATTTTTATTTATTTAATAAAAATTAAATATAAAATACTGTGAACCGACATAAATTTTAAGGTCATATAAATTTTACTTAGAAAAATATATTAAATAATAATATAAATTATATTTTTAAATTTTATCTTGTAATTTAAACTATTAAATTAAAATAATTTTTTAACAAGGTAGTCTCCATTAAGTTTTTAAAAAATTATTTTTTACCTTGATTATATTTTGATGACTCGCTATATTAAAAATAAAATATATTTTTATTAAAAAATTATTTTTTACCTTGATTATATGACTCACTATATTAAAAATAAAATATATTTTTTTTTTATTTAAAAGAATAAAAATATATCACAATATACACACACACATTCATCACTTAAGCAAGTAATTATAGATTTATATATAATTATAAGAGGTATAATTTAACTTGTTATATTTTAGATTTGTTTTTTTTTTAAATTATTAATTTGAATTCTAAAAATATCAGGATTATTAAAGATTTATATAATTATTAATTTTAAAATTTATAAAATTAATTAAAATATATATAAACTGAGCATAATAACAAAAACTATTATGATTTATATGCTTAATTAAAACTATAATTTTACACAACCTGTTCTTTCTTTCGTCGTGGGAACAGGGAGGGTGGGAGAGCTGACAGTGGCACTCTCTCTGATCTGCTCCGGGATGACACGATTGCGGGCCCTGGTACCTTGAGGATTCCTGTTCCCGACGAGGAGCGAGCCTCATCAAGATCAAATCGGCGGGGCCAGATAAATGATTTCAGATTCTTCGTTCTTATTGCTTCTAGTTGCATGGCACGAAAAATTGCTTGCTCAGCTCAATCATGGTTCATTTTGTTGTTGAATAAAATTTTAAAGTTCATTGTGTCTTTTCCTTGGCGTTTCCTCCATGTCTAAAGAGCCAGAAAGATGAAAATAAAAAAAAATATATTTTTCTTGACACGATTTATAGTGTAAATAAACACTTGATTTTCAAGCTATAAGATTATAACTTAAAACTGCAGAGAATCTGTTATTGTTTAAAAGGTTTGTAATTCAATATTTTTTAATGGAAAAACAAAAACAAAGATCCCCATTTATATTAATTCTACATCAAGAATTCTTATATAAAAAATATTTTTATTGAAAGTTACATAGCTTATATAATCAAAATAATATTAAAATTCCTAAACTAAACAAATCCTTGTAAATCCTAATAATTAAATAAATATTACAATAAAAATAATTATGTCATAAAATTAAAAAAATAACATTTCACTTCAGTCCATTCTACTTGTAAAACACTCATTCTCAAGTTAAATATCAAAAATTAATCTTGATCGTACCAAAAAAATAAATATTTTTAAATATAATATTATAATTAGCCTCTTTACAAACTAAATTTCTTTTACTATCAATTAAATCAAATTAGTTTGTTCAACCTTTATATGTAATGGACTCTTAAGATAATCTTTCAAAATATTTTAAAGTGAAAAATCATTCTCATTCATGTATTTATTTGGAAGATCTTTATTCATGATAAAAAAGATCATTATGTATTAATGTTTTGTCCAACATAATAATAAAAAATTTAAAATTATTTTTCAGCTCCTTTTTGGACCATGCTATCTTAATCACAATGAGGTAACTTTGAGATTTTAAAACTAGATATTTTTATACTTTCTTTAATTCATCAACTTGCATATTAACCTTGACAATAATCTTTGGTAAGGAAGAATTTTATGGATATGTCAATATTTATAATAAGATGTTTGATAATTCTTTTATAATTTTTCTTTTAGGATTGTTAAACATGAAGGATTTTTTCATTTTTAGAGTAGTGTTTACAACAGTGTTGTTGTTATTGTAATTAATATGATACTAAAACCATTAACTTTGAAAAACAACACCTCTTATACATTTTTCCTCCATGTTATTTGAGAAGGTTGAATAAAAGGTAAATAATAACAATTTAATTAATTGTTTATTCATATAAAATCTGTATCTACTTATTTTGTATACAATTCAAAATTAATGATTATCTTAAAGCTTGCCATGATGGAATTAAACTCTTACCAATATGAGTTCTATATTCTAGAACTTCAAACCACTATTTTTTAACACCACAAGAAAATTTATGTATGATAAGTCCTATTTTTTGATAAAAGAATATTACTCAAATTAAAGTCATTTTCCAACTCTAACAACCATTTAATAAATTTTTTTATAAAAAATTCCCATCAAAGAAAACATTCTCATTGAATTCGAGAACACGTCTATAAACATGATGATTTTTATTTGAGTTTTTAATGAATCACTCATTGTATATGCCATTCTCTATAAAACCATGATATTTATATAAGTTTGTAAGAATAGATCTAAGGTTTGGTATGCTTTGAAGTAAGTCTTTAAACATATCCCTCTACTTGATATGATTCTTGTTTGTACATTTCAATAGGCAAACTAGATTTTTAAAGCTAGCTAATATCATTTCTATTGTTTTCTCTAAACAATCTAGTTTTTATGATTAGGTTTCTTGCATTTCCTCTCGAGCTCTCACATTGTCCTAGATGAACTCCACTCTTGCATTACAGATACCATCTTTGTTCATCAAATAGATCAGCATGCTCTAATATC